GCCCATAATTCTCCTTTTTTTTTTTTTTTTGTACATTTGAATGGGTTATACAAGATGGAAAGCCCTTTCCTTTTCCTAAATCCCTCCCCGTCCAACTCAAGGTTTGAACTTGAGATTTCCAACTTAGAATTTCAAATTCTTAACCATTGAATCACCTTACTAGGGTTACCCATAATTCTCATTAATAATACTATAGTTACAATATCATTTATAATTGTAATTTTATAATTTTATGTAGTATTAAATGAAAATGACTTGATATTAAATAAGAGAATACATATAATATTATAAGTAGATGTACAAATAAAAAGATTAATTATATAACGATATATTATATTTTAGGAAAATAATTGGTACACCCTTGGTTTAACATATTTTTTTACACTTTTGGTTTAGTCATTAAAAATATGATATAAATACAGTCAATTCAATCGGTACTTATATTGTGTGCGTATGATTGTATTATTAAACTTGTCTGTCTTTAATTTTAGACTAAAAAATAATAATTTTTTAATAAGTGTGTCATGCAGTGTATTGAATCAAAGTGTGTATCAATCATTGTTCTATATTTTAAATTTACAATTTACTTATAAATAAGTGTTGTTTTGTAAATCAGTCAGCTTCAAGTTCAAGGCTTAAAACAAATATTTAAAAAATTTATTTTTAAAATAAATTGATCTTGAAATGTACGAGAACTAATTCAAAAACACGTTAACAATAAATAAAAATAAAAATAAACTACTGTATATCATTTCCAAGTTCTCACTTCTCCCAATTGATATTAATCAACCAAACTCCAGCCCGTGGATAATGTGGGCTTCCTTCTTCGATTGATTATCAGGGAAACAAACAATCATAATATATATAGAAAAATTTTTTAATTGATATACGGATAAATTAATTCACAACAACTAAAGTATATATAGTAGAAATGGGAGAGGAGTGGAAAAAGAAGACGATGGTGGTGGGGTTGCATGGCAAAAATTTACTTTGAGCCCCTCACCTTACTAAGTTTGTAGGTTTTAGCCCTTTACTTTATACTATGACATTTTTAGCTCATCACCTTACTAGATTTGTAGGTTTTAGCCCCTTACCTATTAAAATCGAAGAAAATAGCCCTCGCTTTATATTGATTGTTAACTCTGTTAGTTGAAAGTAGATTTTTATCAACTAATAGTCAAGTAATAGCTAGTTAACAGAATTAACGAAATATTATAAAATTAGTTCTGTTAATTTTGTTAGCTTAAAGAAGGTTTTTGTCAGCTAACAGTTAATTAACAGTCAGCTAATAAGTTAACAGTTAGTTAGTAGAACTAACAAAATGTTATAAAGTGAGGACTATTTTCTTCAATTTTAATAGGTGAGGGGCTAAAAGTGTCATAGTATGAGATGATAGGTTAAAAGTGTCATACTATAAAGTAAGGGGTTAAAACCTTTAAATTTAGTAAGGTGAGGGGCTAAAAGCAGGCTTTTGCCCCTGGCCATTGGGGTGGCACTCGTTGTTCCTAGGAAGTAAGAAGCACCAGAAGAATCCAAGCAATCGCACAGTCCAGATGTCTTCATCGAGAAAAAAATCGCGTCTTATGCCTTCACAGTCAGCATCAGCATCAGCTACGCATATGTCTATTTTATGCAAGGATGTATTGTCTTATCTAAGCTTCTTTAATTCTATTTGCATTTGTCCTCCCCCAAGCTATAATAACCAGCATATTTTCCCTGATTTCTGGGATCAATATAATTAAATGTGCAAAACTTAATTACTGGTTGAGATTAATTGCCAATTATGAAAATTTATGATTTTAAATTTTAATTAAATCAAGGATTTGATACAAGGATTTAGTTGGAGAAATTATTCCTATTAATAAAAAACAAGGGGGCATGATGGGCGGCAACTTCATGATTGCCACCCCAACCCTAAATCCCCTTTTAAAATCTACTATAGTTGCTACCCACTTCTCTTGAAAGACCCGGTCCCCATTTCTCCTCCTATTGTCCTTTGTTACATATCCACTAAAGAAATTCTTGTCATGGCAAGCGAATTGACAGTTGTTTTTGCACCAGAAAGTGTGCTCTATGTACCTTGGTTTTTACTTGGTGTTAGCCCAGATATTTGATGTATGATAGTCGTTGATTTTGCTGCTATTCCACATGTGACATATGCTATTTTGGGCTCATTTTTTCCTTGTTTAAGGTGAGTGCAAGGGCCTATATCTTTCTTCTTTATTTTCTTGTAAATCTTCATAGGTTCGGTGTTGAAATCTTGTTTAAATTGGGCCTTATCTTCTATTAATTTCCTGACTTGAGATGCGTAGGTGAATTGGCTTAAATTATGATAGCATGACTTTGTAGTAGTATTTTGCGCTATTGGATTAAGTCAATTCTTGATTCTATGGAAAATTAAGAGATAACTCTACAATTGATTTATTAAACGTTTAACCTAGTTTGGTTGTTATCAAGGCAATAACTTTGTTACAAGTTTCAATTCCTTAAGGTGAATGGAACTAGCGCCCTGAACTTGTATTAGTATTCTAACCATTTCTTTGTAGATGTTGAATTGGATATTTAGCAAATTTTACACACAGAATTGTAACGAACTCGGGGTTGGGGCTTGGGCCAGGACCTAGACCAATAGGAAGAACTCTCCCGGGCTTGTGTGGTTTCAGTGTAGAAAAATAACCATAACAATTGCATCTCATAAATGAACCTTCCTTCGAACCAAGGTCAAAACTCAGAAACTCCATTTTCAATCTTTCAGACAGTTTTGATTTCTTGTTTGAAGGAAGTAGAATTGGGTTTGCCTTTTTTTGGGAGATTTTTATTTATCTAGAAAGGTCCATGGAGGCCAAAAAGGAAAAAGAATCGGTGGGATTGCTGGACAAGATCCTTCCTCCTCGCCTCAAAGATGCAGGGCTCAAGGATTGCGCCTTACCGGCTGAATCAATACATGAAGCGTTCCTCAAAGCTGCCTCTACTATGAAGTCACGTGCAGCCACGCTCTTCCATGCCGACGATGAAGAAGAAGAAGAAGAAGAAGAAGAAGAAGAACCTGGTTGCCTCGAAGATCCTAGTCCCGACAACGCCAAGGGAGATGCTTTGATCGACGTGATGCCTCGGCTTCCTGATGGGTTTGATGAGGTTGTGGTTGGCAGTGTTCTAGAGCCGAACGCATCCGGAAAGTGTGTTGTGGGGAAAGGTGGCCCTGGGGAAATTGAGGTGATTTTTGAAGCTATGGAAAGCTAAGAGATAAAGCTACAATTCATCTTTTGATCATTCCACCCAATTCCATTGATTTCAAGGCATGAATTTAGTTGCAATCTCTGGTTCATAACCTGAC